GAGTGCTAGAATTAAAGGTGTGCATCACCACTGCCTGGACTCATCACACATTTTAAGTATGCTTTCTATTAAGGAACTGGGAAAAGTTGTTTTTCTAGAAAATGATCACATAATATAGACTTTTACATGATAACTATGGGTCTACTATAGTTCATATAATATTTAGTCTGGGTGGTTTTATGAAATTATCTGTGCCAAATTTAATTTTTCTTCACTTTCTACTGCTTGAATTATTAAAATATATTTCTATAGTACTGTATGACATTGTTTGATTTTCTTTCCCTTGGTACCAATATTATCCATAATAATAACAAAAAATGGAGTTTCAGACATACAGTTGGTTGGAACTGCAGAATGTCAAATTTTAGGGCCAGTGAATTGGGTTAATAATTAGATGCTCCTGCTACCCAGACTTGTTCCCCAAGAGTCAAATGGAGAACCCATTCCTAGAAGTTTTCTTCTGACCTATACCTGCATACCACAGCACCAGAATGCCCACAAACATACACACAAAAAAAATAAAAAATAGAAAATACCTATTTTGAAAGTCCATGTAATATTAATATTTAAATAATTTTATAAATCAAAGAGCCTTTTGAGAAATTCATCACTAAAGAGTTCATTTATCTTTTTTGGTATTGAATCTGAAGATATATTATTGAATCATCAGCTTATCAAACAATGTCAGGGCATTTAACTTTTACTTTATTGCTTAAAGTGAGACTAAAGAATAAGGGAATTGGGAATAGATAAGTCAAGAAAGACTGGGAAAACTGTAATTTTAGGAGACTAAAGGTATGATAAAATATGTAATAAGAGGAACACTATGTCTGCCTTTCTGGGGAGCTTATACCAACCACACTGAGAATACTTACTTTCTCGTCCCTAGGCCACCAGGAACATGCCTACATTTCTTGCCATCACACTCCAACTGTGATTTGGATAGAGCCCTCTCTCTTCTCAAGGCTGATTTCATTCCCACCTGCACCCCATTAAAACCCAGTGCTGATGATCCAAACTTGTGGGAGTTCACTGACAGCTGGGGAGCCTGTATGGGGCCGAACTAGGACCATTGCATGTGGGTGGCACCTTTGTAGCCTGGTATATTTGTGGGACCCCCGGCAGTGGGACCAGGATCTATCCCTGGTATGTGAGCTGGCTTTTTAAAGCCCATTCCACATGATGGGATACCTTGCTCAGCCTTGATGTGGTGGGGATGGGGCTTGGTCCAGCCTCCACTGAACTTGCCAGGCCTTGTTGACTCTCCATAGAAGGCCTTATCCTTTCTGAGGAGTGAATGGGGATGGGTAGAGGGAGGTGGTAGGTGAAAGGAAGGAGGGGAGGTGGGGAACTGTGTTTGGTATGTAAAATGAATAAAAAATTAACTAATTAAAAAAAGACCCAGTGCTGATCACTACCAGCAATAGACACCTGCATTGTCCTTCCTGGGCTAGATAAGACACAAAATGCCTCCCTTACAGCACCACACCACCCATGTCATCAAGTAGAGCCCTCTCTTTTCTAAACTAATTAAGAATCTACCTGCCTCACTTTAGGACAGGGAGAAAACTTCTGCAGAATACACCTTCTTGACTTTCATCTTTCAAATTAATTTGAATTTTCACAGGTTAGAGCCTTTACTGAATGAGATCTTACACCATTTCTACTGTCTCTGCAGAGTAGAATGTATGTATTTATCAGTTCAAGTGCAGCATTTTTTTTCTGCATGCTCTTTGGCTGCAATTTTAAATTTGCTCAATTTCTTTTCTGGAAAACATGTAAAATTTTCATATTCTTCTGCCTCATTTATTGCATCTTTTCACTGTAGACTTGCATAACCATGGTGAGAAATCACCAGGCCACAAACTGAATGCTATCCTGCCTTAAAATTCCCTCTCCCAAACACATTAACTTGTTATTTTTCAATTCAGTCTCATTTAGGTTCTCAGTATATGGACAGAGTGCATCCAGATTCTTTGTCAGAATATTATCTGACTGGCCTCTAGCCCAGGTATCTGATAGAACCCTTAGTCCCATCTGAAATTTCAAAAGCCTGTTCTCCACTCTCTGTTTGATTTCAGCATTCTGGTCTTCTAAACTCCCACCAGAGCACCCCATTAATACCCCTTTCCCAGTATGCAAGGTGTTTTCTAGTGTAAATTTCCAAATGAGTTCACACTTTAACAAACTATTTTCAAAGCCCTAAGAACCACAAGGCAGGTTTATCACAGCCATGGCCACATGTGTCTGTACCAGTTTCTTATATTATCTACCCCTTTCATTTTGGCATATAAAATACCCAGCAAAAACAACTTCATGGTGGGACAAATGCAGCATGAATGGAAGGTGGATGGTCATACTGTGTCCACATTCAGGAAGCAGAGAACTATTAGCAATCATTCTTAGATAGATTTCTCTTTTTTTGTATATTCTGAAATCCTAGTACATGAAACCTCCCACAGACATGTCTAGATATTAATTTCTAATGTGATTCTAGGTCTTCTGAAGATGAAAACCAATATTATCATTTCTGAGGCAAAAGGACAAATGGGTAGATGGAAAGCTCTGTAGTATTACTTAGCTATCATGCATGAAGAGGCCCTGGGCTCCATTCTTAGGACAGAAAACAAAAAGTAAAAAGTAAAAGAAAGATTTCACAAAACTTGAGAGAACTTTCGGGCTTCTAGAAATCACAGAACCTGTGTAATTATAAGCAGTAAGTTATGGAAAAGAAAAGGACAATATATAACATACCTTTTATATTTTAGATTGGGTTTTATAATTGAATGTTAATGAATAGATACAAATATGCCTCTTTCTTTTGCAATGTCATAAAGTACTTTGATAGAAGCAAATTCAAAAAGAAAATAGTACTATTAGTTCACAGTCCAAGACACAGTCCACCATGAAAAGGAAATCAAGATTCCAGGAAGCTGAAGCAGCCAATTACATCACATCACATCCACACCAAGAAAAAGAGTAAGAAATGCATACTAATACTCAATAATTCATTCTATAGAATCCATAATTCTCTGCCTAGAGAAGTTTTCAGCCTAAAGTTAAGATTCCTGCATCAATTTATGTAATCAATATACTACTTAACATCTCTCCCAAAAGGCCAACCTAACCTAGACAGTTCGCCATGGGTCTGTCCAAAGGCCTGCTTTCTAGATACAATTAACATTTGCCATCACAACATGTAAACAATAAGAGACAGTACACATTACAAAGTCTCTCTTTCATCTCTCCCATTTCCTGAAAGTCAGTCTCCACATGACAAATTTGCCAGCATATTCATTGTGTAGATCATCTACATGTACAAAAATATTTATTTACCAAACCAATATATTTTAAAGAAATGGAAGTATTCTTTATAAACTTGGACTTTTGTACTTTAAATTATATTTAATCAAACATAATTATAGTTTGTTAATATTTGAACATATTGAGAAGCTGTTAAGTCATCATTAATAGTGTTAATTTCTATGTTGGTGAAGATACAGCAGGTTTGCTGCTTGAATATGTGGATATTTGGTTTTTTTTGTTTATTTTATTTTTTATTATTAAGAAATTTTCTATTCATTTTACATACCAAGCACAGATCTCCCTCTCCTCCCTCCTCCTGACCCCAAGCCTTCCCTCCCAATCTGCCCTCCCCCCATTTCCCACATCCTCCAAGGAAAGGTCTCCCATGGGGAGTCAGCAGAGCCTGGTACATTCAGTTGAGGCAAGTCCAAGCCTCCCCCCACCCCCGCACCAAAGGTGCTCAAGTTGTCCCACCATAGGCACTGGGCTTCAAAAAGCCTGCTCATGCACCAGGGATGGATCCTGATCTCACTGCCTGAGGACCCCCTAACCAGTTCAAGCTAAACACTAGGTCTGCCTATCTAGAGGACCTAGTCCAGTCCCATGAGGGCTCCTCAGCTATTGGTCCACAGTTCATGGGTTTCCATTAGTTTGGTTGGCTGTCTCTGTACATTTTCCCATCATGATCTCAATGTCCCTAGCTCATAGAATCCCTCCTGTCTCTCATCAATTGGACTCCTGGAATTCACCCTGGTGCCCAGCCATGGATCTTTGCATCTGCTTCTATTAGTAACTAGAGAAAGGATCTGTGATAACAGTTAGAGTATTCACTAATCTGGTTACCAGAGTAGGCCAGTTCAGGCACCCTCTCAACTATCACTAGTAGTCTAAGGTGTTGTCATTCTTGTAGATTCTTGGAACCTTCACTAGCACCCTGTTTCTCCCTACTCCCATGATGTCTTTGTTTATCATGGTAACTCATTCCTTGCTCTCCCACTGTCCCTGTTCCAGCTCAAACCTCCCATTCCCTTATGTTCTTATCCCACATCCATTGCCCTCCATTACCCCTCTCACCTCTAGTTTGCTCATGTAGATCTCATCTATTTCTCCTTTGCTAGGCAATTTAAACATCCCTCTTATGGTCCTCCTTGTTTCCTAGCTTCTCTGGAGCTGTGGGTTGTAGTCTGGTTATCCTTTGATTTACATCTATTATCCACTTATGAGTGAGTACATACCATATTTGTCCTTCTGAGTCTAACTTACCACACTCAGGATGATATTTTCTAGTTCTATCCATTTGCCTGCAAATTTCATGATATCATTGTTTTTTACTGCTGAGTAGTACTCCATTGTGTATATGTACCACATTTTCTTTATCCATTTTTCAGTTGAAGGGCATCTAGGTTGTTTCCAGGTCCTGGCTATTATGAATAATGCTGCTATGAACATAGTTAAACATGGGTCTTTGTGGAATGATTGAGCATTCCTTGGGTATATGCCCAAGAGTGGTATAGCTAGGTCTTGAGATAGATTGATTCCAAATTTTCTGAGAAATCTCCATACTGATTTCCAAAGTGGCTGTACAAGTTTACACTCCCACCAACAATGGAGAAGTGTTCCCCTTGCTCCATATTGTCTCCAACATAAGCAGTCATCAGTGTTTTTGATCTTAGCCATTCTGACAGGACTAAGATGGTATCTCAGAGTCATTTTGATTTGCATTTCCCTAATGACTAAAGATGTTTGTAGCTGAAGTTTTCCTGTGTCCCAGCCTGCTGGCAGTCAGGACAAATCTCTCCCACTCACATCCCCCAAGTAAACACACAGAGACTTATATTACTTATAAACTTTATGGCCGTGGCAGGCTTCTTGCTATCTGTTTTTATATCCTAAGTTAATCCATTTCTATAAATCTATATCTTGCCATGTGGCTTGTGGCTTACTGGTATGTTACATCATGCTTCTCCTGGCTGGCAGCATCTCCCTGCTTCAGGCTTCCACCTCCTAGAATCCTCTTCTTTCCTTATCCTGCCTACATTATACTTCCTGCCTGGCTACTGGCCAATCAGTGTTTTTATAATCAATCAATCAGAGCAACACATTCACAGCATCCACAGCACACCCCCCCATTTTTTAAAAAGGAAAAGTTTCAACTTTAACATAGTAAAATTACATATAACAGAACAATTATCAAGCAAGAATTACAGTTACAATATCTATTTATAATATCTAGTCTATTTGTATTTGGCAAAATTAAAGAAGATATTCTATCTCTCCTATATTGTGAGTCTAAGGATTTATATCTAACTTATCTTTTATCATAACTAAAGAAATTATAACTATCTAGTCTTCAACTACAACAAAGACCTCAGAAGGATATATTACTTGAGAAACATGAGAAGGATGCAAGCAACTTTCAGGAGTCTTGGGAGTGTAGACAGAGACAGCTGGCAGCCTGAACAGTCACCCAAAGTTCCTTTGTAAAGTTGGGGCATCTGTCTTCAGCCCACAGTCCTAGAGTATCTCAGTAACTTCTCTCTGTGTCCTATAGAATATCTGGCAGTTTCCTCTGTGAAGCAGGAACCTGAAGGACCATTTTGCCAAGCAAAGTTCAGTGGTCACCTTCCTATGGGTCCTACATATTTAGTTGATCAAGCAGTCCAGGCAAGAACAGTTTCTTGCCCAAATGGCTATTTTTGCCAAGAAGAAGATAAACTCCATATAGAGTGTCTTTGATGCCCATCCTCCTCCTGAAGTAAGTCGGTACTGCTAGGAGCAGACATGTCTCACTGTCCAAAAAGTCTAAATTTTTAAAAATGTTTTAAATGACATATTCTGTAGGTCTTTGAAGTGTTTGAAGATTACCTACCTAAATTATATCTATCTATACCTAGAAAACTTAACATGACTATAAGTTTGACTATCATAAAAGACTAATTAGTAATCTGTATTTCTTAATTATCCATTACAATCAGATCCAATTTTGAAGTCAAGGCATCTTTAAAATATATATATTGGCTTAACTCAACAGCTTTTACAAACACATCACTTTCTGCAGTTAAAAATCCCAAAGACAACACAATCCAGATTCTCTGTATGATATCCATCTTTATGTGGGTTATTTTTATACTACCTTTACTGTCTCTTTAAAGACTTTACTTTTAAAAACTATTGCTTTATATAACTGCATATATCTTTTCTCTCTTTGAAGCCTACGTACATTTTTACATACATTGTAAACTGTTTAGAGGTTTCTCCCATCTGAATCTGTCTTATTGTGAATCTATTGCTTTAAAGTTCAGCATTCTAAGACTGAAATGGCAGCTATGGCTGCTGGCTCTGCCTACCTCAGCTTTTCAACATGGTGGTGGTATATTTACCGGCAGCTCTGGGAACCATGCTCCCACAGACTCTGGGAAGCAGTGGGTCTATGATTCCACCCAGCAGCATGTACCCCAGAAACCCCCCCTTTTTAAAAAACCAGCAAAATCTATATCCAACACATAGCATAGTACGCAGCTTGGAGACACCTCTGTGTAACATAGCATAGGTCAAGCCAGCACACCGAGACTGCTACATTTCTACAGCTATTTGCCCATTATTTATGTGAAGTATAAAAATAACCATTTGGGCTGAAACTGAGAAAAAAAATGGACACCTCTGCTGGAAACTCGCTAGCAGAGTAGAGCAGAGAAGCAATTGACAGCTCTGCTCTGGGGATTGGAGTAGAGCATCAATGGACATATCTGCTGAGAAACTCTCTTAGCAGAATGATGCAGAGTCCAGCTGTAATGGCTCCCTTTTGGGGAGGAGCAGGATCACAACATTCTGTGGGGAGACAATTCTCCACTGAAACACAGCTTCAGGTATAGCCCGGCATTCCAATAGTCAGGGAACCTTTTGCTTCTCAGCAATGTGTATCCAGGATATCTTCCCTTCACAGATGTTGAGCAATTCCCTGAATGTCTTTCAGCCATTTGAGATTCTTCTGTTAAGAATTCTCTGTTTAGCCGGGCGTTGGTGGCGCACGCCTTTAATCCCAGCACTCGGGAGGCAGAGCCAGGCGGATCTCTGTGAGTTCGAGGCCAGCCTGGGCTACCAAGTGAGCTCCAGGAAAGGCGCAAAGCTACACAGAGAAACCCTGTCTCGAAAAACCAAAAAAAAAAAAAAAAAAAAAAAAAAAAAAAAAAAAAAAAGAATTCTCTGTTTAGCTCTGTTGCCCATTTTTAAAATAGAATTGTTTGTTATTTTGATGTCCAGTTTCTTGAGTTCTTTATATATTTTGGAGATCAGATCTCTGTCAGATGTGGTGTTGGTGAAGATCTTTTCCCATTCTGTATGCTGTCCTTTGCCCTACAAAAGCTTCTCAGTTTCAGGAGGTCCCATTTATTATCTGTTGTTCTCTGTCTGTGCTACAGGTGTTATATTTAGGAAGTGGTCTCTGGTGCCAATGTGTTCAAGACCGCTTCCTACTTTCTCTTCTATTAAGTTTAGTGTAACTGGATTTATGTTGAGGTCTTTGATCCACTTGGATTGAGTTTTGTTCATGGCAACAGAAATGGATCTATTTGTAATCTCCTACATGTTGACATCCAGTTATGTGCCGGCACAATTTGTTGAAGATGTTTTCTTGTTTCCATTGTACAGTTTTGACTTCTTTGTAAAAAAAAAATCAGGTGTTCATAGGTGTGCAGTTTCTATAATTTGATTCCATTGGTCCATGTGTCAGTTTTTATGCTAGTACCAAGCTGTTTTTATTACTATAGCTCTATAGTAGAGCTTGAGGTCAGGCATCAAGATGCCTCCAGAGGTTGCTTTATTATACAGGATTCTTTAAGCTATCCTGGGTTTTTGTTTTTCCATATCAAGTTGAGTATTATTCTTTGCAAGTCTGTGAAGAATTGTGTTCAGATTTTGATGGGGATTGCATTGAATCTGTAGATTACTTTTGGTAAGATTACCATTATACTAAGTTAATCCTACATATCCATGAGCATAGGAGATCTTTCCATTTTCTGATATCTTCTTCGATTTCTTTCTTCAGAGACTTAAAGTTCTTATACAGGTCTTTCACTTGCTTAGTTAGAGTTACACCAAGGTATTTTTTATGGATATTTTTGTTAGTATAGTGAGAAATTTGCTACCAGCTTGTGCCAATAAATAAATCACTTACAAATCACCTGAGTAAAGTGTTTCAGTGCTGAATATTTTCTCAAAATTGCCTATTGCTACTTATTGATAATCTACCAGCAGCATAAGTGCTAAAATTTGCAAATAGGTATTGGAACATGGGAAGAACATTCTAGAGATAATAGGTAATAACACTGTGAACTTCTTACTGACTGATTTTACTGGTTAGTTTTAGTGACAATTCAACACAACTAGAGTCATTTAGGAAAAGCGAAATTCATTTGAAGAATTTCCCAGATCATATTGGCCTGTGTCCAGGACTGTAAGAGATAATATTGATTAATGATTGATTTGAGAGGGTACAGTCCACGATTGGTGGCACCATTCCTAGGCTGGTGGGTCTAGGTGGTTAAGAAAATTAGCTGAGTAGTAAGCTAGAGATTGAGCCAGTAAGACGTATTTCTTTGTAGTTTCTGCTTTAGTTCCTGCTTGAGTTTGTGGTCTGAGTTTCCTTAGTGACGACTGTGACTTGCAAGTGTCACTTGGAAGTATGTGCCAAATAAACACTTTCTCCATAGCTGTTTTTTGGTCATAGTGGTTATCATACAAGAAAGTAAAATTAAACAACTACGTATGCAAAAGCATGTGTATCCATGACTGAACTGGAAAATAATGTCACCAAAACTAGACAATGAAATGAAAGCTTAAGAACAGTTTTTAAAAAATATTTTCTTGTATTTTACTTTCTACTATATAACCAAGTATAATATCAGTTTCAAATAGCCTAAAATAGAAAAATCAGTATAACTAAAATAAAATTTTGCATGGTCAGAAAGCAAAGCATGTTATCATCTTCTGCATTGTGATGTGAGAGCCTCTGGAGGAATCACAAAATAGTATTCTATGTTCAAACTATCTTTATAATAATATGCAGATTTTACAGATAAGATAATATAATTTGTAAGCATAATATCACATGATTCTTGAGGTAATATAATATATAATAATATGGTACAATGGTATTTGTCTGTTAATTTATTGACACATTGACTGAAGAAATGTTAGGTAAAATCGCTGATACTTTAACCCAAATCAAGGCAGTGACATCAATTTTATTTCTTATCATACTATACTCACAAGAAAAAAAATAATACAATAATGTTACCTTAAGATGTCCTTGTTATCATCAGTGAACATATGAATAATGAAGGGAAAAGTTCATATGGTCCCACCCATAGATAAAAAACTACAGGTAATCAATGGCTGGTAAGAGAAGGAAAATTAGCTTATCTGAGGGATGAGCCCTCTTATTGGTTTTCTAATGCAGAATGATCAGTTCTGAAAACATACATTTACAAACAACAAAAACAAACCTTCAGGTTGTTTTTATATACTTGTTCATTCACATACATATTCATATATACATATATGTAATAGTAATTGAAGAAAAAGAGGCTACCAAGTTGAGAGTTGGATGGGACATGGGATGGTTTGGAAGGAGGATACCAGGGAGGGAGAAGTGGTATAATTCCATTTCAATTAAAAACATATTTAAAAAGAAATTTAAAAATAAAATCAAAAACCAATTTAATTATAATCCTTAAACACACATCTTTTCACATTATATGCGACAAAGCAGGAAAGATTCATAAAGTGCCTCTGCTGAATGTGAAAGTAAAATTATTTTCTCCAGGAAAAGTACTTGTTCAAGTTAATAGATGAAGTAGTTCCTTTATTGAGTAAATAACATAACTTGAAAGAACAACTGCCAAATTATGATTATTTAAAATTGGAATTTAATACATATTTTCCCTGAAAATGAATAAAATGAGTCTATCATTTCTAGGAGAACGATAAATATCATTCTTCAGGATGACAAACATTTACAAATCCAACTGAAATTAGAATTCTAAAAACTTACTTAATAGCTTTTCAGTGCTTTTCTATTGAATTTCAGGGTTATATTAGGAAATGATAATTTTTTATTATACAATGAAATGAATAACAAATGCACAGTTCAGTTAACCAATATTTTCAAATGACCCACATTGTTATAATATTCTATAGTAAAAATATATAGAAAAATTAAGATCAACATATTTTAATGAAATGGAATAGAATGGAAGAACACAAATAAATCATTGATGTGGCTTCAGTTTCCATACTGAAACTTAATTTTTCAGGAAATTACCACTTGTTGAATTTTGATGTGGTGTCAAAGAAGAATATCCTCAATGGTTTATAAAAATTTTCTAATTACTCATCTGAATAAGGTAGATTATTTATTTTTACATATGATTCAGACAAAGAAACATACCCTAACCTATTAAAGGCTAAAGTAAATGTACTGTCTTCTACTGAGCCTAACAGCAAATATAATTGCTTTTTTACATCATCTTTACTGTATCATGTGATTTATTCATTATTTTCAATAAAATATAAATATTTTTTCTCAGTTTTAATTCCTAATACAGCAAATATGAATAGGTATATTATGTTTCAAATCTTTGTCAGTCTCAAAAATGTATACAAAATAGTTGAAATTATAAAATTTGAGAATGTCTGTGTTGTCTCATACCTTGTAAGCATTATTATACTTTCAGACTAATATATTAATCATATTAAACCTGCAATATATTGTATCTTAATTTCAAGTTATGATTGTATGTTATTGAGACTTCCACATTTGAACACATTGGGGTGATTCATTTTTGAAATGGCTACATATTATATTTGTATGCAGTAATTTATCCAACCCAATAGAGTAATGAAAAATTCACAGAGTATTTAAAGATATTTTTCTAATTACAAACAATGCTTCAGTGACAATCATTGTATATATATTATTAAATTCTATGCACACATACCTGTAGATCAAAATTTTGAAATTTTTTAGAGTAGGTACTCTGGTCGATATATTATACACCCCAATAAACTTATCTGGGGGTCAGAGAACAGAACAGCCACTATATTAAACATAGAGGTTAGGCAATGGTACCACATGCCCTTAATCCTATCACTTAGCAGCCAGGATCTCTGTGTGATCAAGGCCACACTAGGGAACAGAGCCAAGCATGGTGACACATGCCTTTAATTCCAGTACCAACCATAGAGACCTGGAGTTCTGTATAGACAGACAGAAAGTGACAGAACTGTATAGAAAGAGGAAGTGATGTAGCTGGGCTAATAGAGCCAACGAGAGGGCAGAAGAGCAAGGCGTATAAATCCTGGGTAAACAGGAAGTCATGCCATTTTGAAGCTGCCAAGTTGGTCAGATAAGGTTAGCTATGGCTTTCCCTATTTCCCTGATCTTTCTCTAAGGCTTTCACCCCTGTATTTGGCTCCATGTTTTTTATTTAATAAGACCATTTAGAAATGTGTCTACAATTGAAACTTTTCAAAGTAGGTACTGTGGTTGATATATTACGAACCCCAATAAACTTATCTGGAGGACAGAGAACAGAACATACACTATATTAAACATACAAGTTAGGCAGTTGTAGCACATGCCTTTAATCCTAGTATTCCGGAGGCAGAAAGGCCACACTAGAAATAGCCAGGCATGGTGACACACACCTTTAATCCCAGTGCTTGAGATCTCATGTCTTGCTTGGGAAAGACACATGCTTTTTATCCCAGGAAGTGATGGAAGGAAGCAGAAAGGTATATAAGGCATGTGGACCAAGAACTTTAGCTTTTTAAGCTTTTAGGCGTTCAGCAGCAGTTCAGCTGAGATCCATTTGGATGAGGACTCAGAGACTTCCAGCTTGAGGAAACAAGATCAGCGGAGAAATTGGCAAGGTGAGGCTAGATGTGACTTGTTCTATTTCTCTGATCTTTCCGTGTTCACCCCAATACCTCATTCTGGGTTTGTTTTTATTAATAAGACATTTTAAGATTCATGCTACGAGGTACCTCTACATTTTTATAAATACTGCTAAATTATAACTATTTTCTGTTTTCTGTTATTCAGTTTAAAAACATATGAACATTTCTCTATGGCTTTGATGTATCTTTTATAAATGTGATTTCTAATGGCAGCATAAACAGCATTCATATAGATAAATCAAAGATTTCTGATGTTTTATGAAAGAATGTATGAATGTGTCTATAAACTAGTGTTGCTGAAGTGATATACTCACTTTTATGCCTATAATGATAAAGCACTCTTCTAAATGAATGAAATTTACTGATCTTGTAGACAGTTTGTTTGATTTGATGCTGTCTCAGTGAAATCCACTAATCTTGTTAAAGATCTATTTTTCTCTTCCTCACTCTATCCCTCTCTCCCATTTATATTTTCTTTCTTCATATTTCCTCTCACTTACCTTCCTCTCTTATTTATTCATTCTTATAATGAAATTAAGTCTTACTAAGTCCTATTAACCACTGAACATTGTTTAGTAAAGAAAAATGAATGTGATCAGGATTCTTTATGTAATATACACCTCTTCTTTTGAGTCTGCATTAAATTTATATTCTAAATCAGCTACTTCTTGCTTGGGCAATTCCAAGCAAGGCGTTTAGTTAATATGCTAGCATTTTGATTTCTTGGTCTTGCGATAAAAATCAGAAAATAGCTTCCAGCTAGGAAAGCAGGTAGGCTAACTTCATATCTTCTCCTCTCCCTTAATACCTCCAATTCGAATTCCCTAGTCTCATTCACTGCTTTTGCTTTTGTTCACTTGCTGCCCTCATTCCCAAGGGATTAAGCATATCCTGATGGAATTATCTGCTCTCCACTCTCTTCTGGACCTCCTCAGGCCACCTCTCCTAGCCCGTCCTTATCCACAAGTGTCAATTCCAAATACCTAGAAACACATTTTACCTGGATCCCCCAAGTGGACACATCAATCAGGATCACAGAAGGATTTCTTACCAGTCAACACACAGACACCACTGTCTCCTAAGAACCAAAGAGGGCAACAAAAAACAAGGAACAAAACACTCATCCAGCAAACACAAGACCAGCTATCATTACTGAGTATTACAATCTGCCTAAACCCAGATGCCTAGATGCCAGTGTAAAACAACAGTCAAAAAGCCAGGAAAATATGTCTGCCCTAGAGCCTAAGAACCCTACCACAAGAGACCATAACTATTGCGACACAGGTGAAACAGAAGAGAAAGAATTTAAAACAGTGTTTATGAATATGATAGAAGTCCTTTAAAAGAAAATGAATGAATCCACTAAAGAAGTCTAGAGAAACATCTAGAAAAAGAAAAAAAAACAGTGGAAGGAAATGAATGAAACAGTTCAAGATCTGAAATTGGAAATAGAATCAGAAAAAAGACATAGACAAACAGAATGGATGTGAAAGAAGCACATATCAAGGACTGACATTGCCTCAGAGTTAAAAGTTGGGAAAAGATATTCCAAGTAAATGTATCCAAAAAGCAAGCTGGGGTAGCCATTTTAATATCTGACACAATGGACTTTAAAACAAAATAATCAGAAGAGATAGGGAAGGACACTACATACTCATCAAAGGAAAAAATCCATCAAGAAGACATTGCAATTCTTGACATCTATGCACCAAAAATAAGGGCACCCAAGTTCATAAAAGGAACACTACTATAGCTTAAATTATGTATTAACCCTCACACACTGATAGTGGGAGATTTCTATACTGCACTCTCAACAATGGACAGGTCAGAAATGCTAGGGCTAATTAGCTTATAAAGCAAATGAAATAGATATTCACAGTGCATTCCCATCCAAACACTATATACACATACACACATACACACACACACACACACACACACACACACACACACACACACACATATACATTCTTCTCAGCACCAAGTTGAGCTTTCTCCAAAACTGGCCACATATTCAGCTGCAAAATAATTCTCATCAGATACAAAAATATGGAAATAACATCCAGCATCCTTTCTGACCAACACGGATTAAAGCTGAATATCAACAACAAGAACAATAGAAAGCTTACAACTCATGGAAACTGAACAATTCCCTACTGAATGAAAAGTATATCAAAACAGAAATTAAAGATGTTATAGAATTGAATGAAAATGGATATAGAATTGAATGAAAATGAAAATACAACACATCCAAATGTATGAGACATAGTGAAAGCAGTTCTGTGAGGCAAGTTATAGCACTCAGTGCCTAAATAAAACAATTGGAGAGATCTCTTACTATTAACAGCATACTTGAAAGCTCATGAAAAACAAAAACAAAAACAAAAAAAATCACACCAAAAAAGGGGAGACAGAAGGAAATAAAAAAATCTCATGTCTGAAATCATTAAAATAGAAACAAACAAAAAAACTACAAAGAATCAATGAAACAAAAAGTTGGTCTTTTGAAAAAAATCAATAAGATTGACAAACTACTATCTGAATTAACTTAACAGTGGAGAGAGAATATCCAAATTTAAAAAATAAAAAATGAAAGGGGATAAAAATAAAAGAGACACCAAGGAAATCCAGAAAATCAGAAGGATGTACTTTAAAAACATATACTACACTAAGTTGGAAAATGTAAAGGAAGGAGTGGATAAATTTCTCAATACATACCAATTGCCAAATTTAAATAAAGATCAGATGAGTAATTTAAACAGACTTATAACCCTATAGTAAAATAGAAGCAATAATTAAAATCTCCCAACCAAAAACAAACCTAGATCCAGATAGTTTTAGTACAGAATTATACAATACTTTCAAAGAAGAGTTAATGCCAATTCTCCTCAAATTATTCCACAAAATATAAACAGAAGGAACATTGTCCAATTTGTTTTATGAGGCTACAGTTACCCTGATATGTAATCTACATGAAGATCCAAGAAAGAAAGAGAACTAAAAACCAATTAGACTTACGAACATAGATTCAAAATTCTCAATAAAACACTTGCAAACCTAATCCAGGAACATATCGAAAATACCCATCATAATCAAGTAGGCTTCATCCAAGATATTCAGGTATGATTCAACATAGTTAAATCAATAAATGTAATCATCATGTAAACACCCTGAAAAAGAAAAGAATTATCCTCCCATCAGATGTAGAAAACATATGTAACAAAATCTCCTTCATGATTAAAAGTCCTGGAGAGATTTCGGTATAAAGGGGCATACTTCAACATAATAAAGGAAGTGTACAAGAAGCACATATGAGAAAAACTCCACTTTCTCCATACCTAATAACACACTACTTGAAGTCTTAGCTAGAACAATAAGACAATAGATGGAGATTAAGGGGCTACAAATTGGAAAGTGTAATTCAAAGTCTTTATTTGCAGATGATATGATAGTATAAATTAGTGGCCCTAAAAATTACAACAGGGAACTCCTATAACTGATAAAGACATTTGGCAAAGTCACTGTATACAAAACTAACTCACAAAATTCAGTAGTCCTCCTATATATGGGTGACAAATAGACTTAGAAAAAAATCAGGGTAACAACATTGTTCACAATAGCCTCAAATAATATATCTTGGGGCAACTCTAACCAAGTGTATTGGCTGGTTTTGTATGTCAACTTGACATAAGCTAGAGTCAGACATGATTAGAGAAAGGAACTTCAGCTGAGGAAATGTCTCAAGTGAGATCCATCTGTAAGGATTTTTCTCATTTAGTGATCAATGGGGGAGGGCCTAGTCCATGGTGGGTGGTGCCATATCTAAATGGTGGTGCCATCGCTGGGCTGCTAATCCTGGGTTCTATAAGAATGTGAGCTGAGCAAGCCATTGGAAGTAAGAAGCTCCCCTCCATGGCCTCTGCATCAGCTCCTGCCTCTGGGATCCTGCCCTGTTTGAGTTCCTGTCCTGACTTCCTTCAGTGATGAACAGCAATGCTGAAGTGTAAGCCTAATAAACCCTTTCCTCCACAACTAACCTTTTGGTTGTGGTGTTTTGTCACAGCAATAGAAACCCTAACTAAGATACCAAACAAGTGAAAGATGTATATGATAAAAACTTAAAGTCTTTGAAGAAAGAAACTGAGGAAGGTATCAGAAGATGGAAAGATCTCCCATGCTCATGCATTTGTAGGATTAACACAGTAAAAATGGCCATCTTACCAAAAGCAATCTATAGATTTGATGCAGTCCCTATCAACATTCCAACACAGTTCTTCGTAGAAATTGAAAAGACAATTCTCAACAGCCCATGGAAACATATAAAACCACTCCTGCATAAAAATACAAACTAACTAAAAAACCTGTTGGAGGTATTATCTTCCTGATTCATATTGTACAAAGCTATGGGAATAAAAAAACTGCATGGCATTGGCACATAAATAGACCCATGGATCACCAGAATCCATTTAAAAACACAGATATACGTCCACATACCGATGGACACCTGATTTTTGAACAAGAAACCAGAAATACAGAATGGAAAAAAGACAGCATCTTCAACAAATGGTGCTGGTCTGACTGGATGTTTGCAGGTAGGAGTATGAAAGCAGAACCATACTTATCACCCTGAAAAACTCAGATCCATATGGATCAAAGACCTCAACATAAAATCAGATATACTGAACCTGATAGAAGAGGAAGTGGGAAGAGCCTTGAACTCATCAGCATGAGAGAAGACTTTGAACTGAACACTGATAAGACAGGCAGTAAGATCAGAGCATCAATTAATAAATGGGACCTCATGAAACTGAAAAGCTTCAAGAATAGGGCAGAGGACAACTGTCATTCAGAGAAAGTGATATCCTACAGAATGAGAAAAGATTTTTACCAACAGCATATCTGATAGAGGGTTAATATCCAAAATATATAAAGAGTTAAAAAAAACTAGATACCAAGAAAACAAATAACCCAATTAAAAGATACAGTACAGATCTAAACAGAATTCTCAGTAGAGAAAACCTCAAATGGCTGAGAAACACTTAAGTAGTGTTCAATGTCCTTATACATCAGGGAAATTCAAATCAAAACTACTTTGAAACTTCATCTTATACTAATCAGTTTAGCTAAGTTCAATAACACAAGTGACTTCACATCCATTGCTGTTGTGACTTCAAATTTGTACTGCCACTATGAAAATCAGTATGGCAGTTTCTCATGAAGATGGGACTTGACTTATCTCAAGGTCCAGCTATATCACTCTTGGGCAGATACCCAAAGGACACTTCATCCTACTGCAAAGACCCCTGCTCAACCATGTTCACGGATGCTCTATTCATAATAGCCAGAAATTGGAAACAATCCAGATGTTCCTCAACAGAATGGATGAAGATAATGTGGTACAAATACACAATGTTATTTGGCCATTAAAAATGAAACCTTGAAAATTAAAGGTAAATGGATGTAACTAGAAAAAAATTATTCTGAATGAGGTATCCAAGAACCAGAAAGAGAAATATATGTATTTGCTTATATGTGAATATTAGCTGTTAAGTCAATGATAACAAAGCTATAGTCCACAGAATCAAAAAGATCTGGTATCAAATAAGGGACTAGGAAGATAGGCATGTCTCATTAGGAAAGGGGAATAGAATGGGTAGTTATGGATGGGAGGCTTCAGCCCCAGGGTCAAGTGGAAAGGGAGAGAGGATTGTGAGGGAACATGGGGAGAGATAACTAAAATTTACAGCCACTTGAGGGGTAGTAGGGAATCCTAATATAGAAGAAGATTCCTAAAATATGTACATACACAAAGACAATCTACATTAAATCACCAAATAATAGGGTAGACAGAGCCCCAACTAGCTATCTTTTGTCACCAACTGAAGCTTCCAGTACCATAATTGGGTTTTATCTAATTGAGTTCCTGGCCAAAGGGGTCCCATGGAAATCCCCAAACAACCCAGGATGTTGCCAAGACTATAACTTGCTCTCTACAAACTGATGGCAAGGCCCCATTGATGATATCACCTTCACAACTCATTGAACCTGGAGATGTTGAACTGATGCCCACACAGAACTCTCATCTCTACATTCTAGCATCTTGGTAAAGGAAAGTAGTCTCCATGCTACCAAAAGAGAAATTCAGACACCAAACCACCTGTAAACCATTTGATCTACAATGGTGTATGTGCTGCCTGCAAGAAAAGCTAGGGCAATAGTGGCACAAATTTTGTCAGAGTAACCATGCAACATATGATTTAAATTAAAGCCTGCTGTGGATATCCCTCTATATAAATAAAACACTGATGGCCAGTGACCAGGCAGGAAGTATAGGCAGGACAAGGAGAGAGGAGAATTGGGGAAACAGGAAGAAGGAGGGAGAGACACTGCAGCCACCGCCAGGACAAGCAGCATGTGAAGATGCCGGTAAGCCACCAGCCATGTGGCTAGGAATAGATTTATAGAAATGGGTTAATTTAAGATATAAGAACAGTTAACAAGAAGCCTGCCACGGCCATACAGTTTATAAGTAATATAAATGTCTGAGTGATTATTTTATATGTGGATTGTGGGACTGCGGGGCTTAATGGAACCTGGAGAGAAGCTCTCCAGCAACAAAAGCCCACTCCACAAGTTGGAATCCATACATGACAATGTTTAGATGACGAAGAAACTGAAACTACAAAGTCCAGAGACCTGGGGTAAAACCAAATGCTACTGTTTCACAAAAAAAGTAACAATAAAATGACTTCTAATAACATTCTGTTTTAGATCAGTGCTTTGCTAAATCATCATCAGAGAAGATTCTGCCTGCAGCAGATGGGAACAAATACAGAGATTCATAGACAGACAATGTGAAAAGAGTGAGAAACCTTAGAACACTCAACTCAAAACAGGGTGTTTCTATAAAATCCCTCTGCTCAGGGCTCAGAAAACCCTGCATAAGAAGAGGCAGAAAGAGTGTAAGAGTCAGAAAGGATAGAGGCCACCAAAGATACAAGGCCCACTAAATCGACATGATCAAAGCTCATATGAATTCACTGAGACTGAGGCAGCATGCACAGGCCTCTGCATGAGTCTGCACCAGGCAGGTCCTGTGTGCTTATATTATAGCTTCAAGTTTAGTGTTTTTATGGGATTCCTGAATATACAAATGAGTAGGTCTCTGTTTTTGTGCCTACTCTTAGGCTCTTTTTCTTCTGCTTAGTTCATCTGACTTCGATGTGTTAGTTTTTGTTTTATCTTATTTTATTTTATTATTGTCCCATAGAAGCAGATTTTCTAATGAGAGATAGAAAGGGAGTAGATCTGAATAGGAAATATGATGGGAAAGACCTTGGAGGAATAATGGAAGGGGAAATAGTAATTAGGTTATATTATATGAGAAAAGAATCTATTTTCAATGAAAAAAAGAATGAGAAAATAATAAATTTACCTCATAAGGCTATTTTGAGGGTTGGTTAAATGAGTCTGTATACATAAAACATTTAAAAGAATACTTGAGACATACTAAGAAATTTTTAAGATGATTATTTTTACTGTTATTGTTAAAACCAAGAGGAAATGCATATATTTCCAACACAATTAAATGTAATAGTATATACTGTACGCAGTACAGTATATTTTAAGTATATTTTAGAGTCTTATAAAGTAGCAATCAGAGTTTGGCTTTCATAGAGCTTATATTTGATGAACGTGTAGAAATTGGTCAAATAGAGATTATAATCTCGGTTGCTACCTTGACTAGATTTATAATCATCATGAAAACACACCTCTGGCCATGTCTACAAAGGTATTCCCAGAAAGGTTTTACTGAAAAAGAAAGACCCACTTTAAATGTGGACAGTACCATTCCATTGTCTGTAGCTCAGTATGTCCACTGTTGCTACATGACAATGTTCCTTATACTCTTGCTGCATAACTTCTCCTTCAAGATGAACCACATCTTCCAACTGTGAGCCAAAATAAACCCTTCCATCATTAAATTATTTAGTCAAATATTTTATTACTTCATTAGACAAGTGACTAAAATAGATAGGCTTTTAAAGTAGTATGAATTGTTTTTCTTTAAAAAAAAATATATTAAGTGACATGAGAGAATATGACATGTTTAGGAAAGCAGATCACCAAAATTTGCTGGAATTGAAATTTTGTTGGCAGGAAATGACTTCAGACATACTTGCTTAGATGATCAGAAGGCCTGATCTTTAAGAGGCTGAGCTTACATGTAGGATAAATTTTATTTTTCTCTGAGTTCAATATTGAATTGAAGGGTAACTTGCTTTCCAACTATGATTAGTTGATAGTTTACTTCTTGAAAAACTATGTAAATATGATTTCAAAGCCATTTTGAGCTCCTTTAGGAAGAACACATCAATTTTGTCAGTGATCTTTGCTTTGGGCATGAGAGTGGGAAGGGTCCATTTTTATAAATCTTTTTTTGGTAGTACATAGTTAGTGAAAATGCTTGAGTCATGTAGGGAGTTTCAGATAGAAAGGGCACTCTGTCAAAAAAAGATGGATTAGAGACTATTAGAAGCACAGAGATCTGAGAGTTTATTTTATTTCACTAGGCATGAAATTATTTGGTCTTGAAGGAGCATAGCTTCAGCATGAACAGAAAGAAGCAATCAAATTCTGGAACATTTATGAGATAAAATCAATAGAACTTGTGATTTATCAGATATGGTGGAGGGATGAGAGAAAGGAAGATACCAAGATCAAGTGAGATTTGTAGTTTAGGTAATAGGATAAATGTTAGTGCAACCAACTAGGAAAAAATAGGAATTTCACCAGCACTGAGATAACAATTAATATTCTGAGTTGAACATGTTGAATTTGAGGGTCTTGGGAGACATTCAGATGAAGATATATTCATATTCTGGAGAAAAGTAAGAATTAGTGAAAATATTCAGATAGACTATTTACAATAGATGGGAAAGTTGAAATAATTGTCATGGATGAGATTACTTAGCAAGTGTGTATATTGATAAAGGATATGAGTATGATACATGCAGAAATGAGACTAAAGACAATAAAATATGGGTCACTGCTGTGGGAAGGTCTGTATGTCAAATTACTCTGATTGGTCAAAAAATAAAACACTGATTGGCCAGTGGCTAGGCAGGAAGTATAGGCGGGACTAACAGAGGAGAAAAGAAAGAACAGGAAGGTGGAAGGAGTCACTGCCGGCCGCCGCCAGGACAAGCAGCATGTGAAGACGCTGATAAGCCACAAGCCACGTGGCAAGGTATAGATTTGTGGGAATGGATTAATTTAAGCTATAAGAACAGTTAGCAAGAAGCCTGCCACGGCCATACAGTTTGTAAGCAATATAAGTCTCTGGGTTTACTTGGTTGTGTCCTGACTATGGACAAGGCAGGAAAACTCTAGCTACAAATGGCACCCAACATGTTAGCAAGAGTTTCCACCTAAAACCTGAGTAAAAATATTCTAAAATGAAGCTAAAAACAGTTCCTAGTTGTCTATTTCAAGTTAGTGGCAGCCTGTGTGTTTGAGCTACTATGGCGGGTTCCTGGCATGAGCGCTTGACCTGCAGTATGGTGAGAATGAGGCCTCTGCAAGTAGCACATTAAGCTGCATGGTAGATTTAGCCTTTGCTAGTACAAAACAAAAAGAGGTTTCTAGGCTACACGCTGCTTTGATAGAAGCATAGACCCACTATTTCTGAGAGTTGATGGCTCCCAGAGCTGGCGGAAAACATACCACCACCATGTTGGGAAGCTGAAGTGGGTGGAACCAGCAACCACAGCACTGTTTCAGTCTTAGAATGGTGTAGTTTTAAAGCAATAGGCTCAAGGTAATATAAAAAAATAAGCCACATAAAGATGGCTACCACAAAGAGAATCTGGATTATGTTCTCTTTGATATTTGTAACTGAAGAAAAACATTTGATTGCAAAAGCTGTTGAGTTATGCCAAAACATATATTTTAAATGTACCTTGACTTCAAAATTTGGATGTAAGGATATGTTGCTTTGGAAAGGAGGCTCTGCTTATGTTTCCACAGAAAGCCAGAGGCTGTGGATTTGTTCCAGATTAAGATACATCAGGTTTGACCAGCCAAGACCCCCTGAAAGGTCTCTGATAACACCATGGCCCAGATGATCCAACATCCAGAATGGTTTGAAGGCAACTGGCTCAGACAATACAGCCTCATAGACTACTCCATAATCCTAAAATTTTCTTTCTGTCCCCATAAAATACAGTGCCCCCCCTCCAGCAGGAAGTAGTAAAAGAAGCTATGCCCAAATTCCCAAATTTTATGTAATTTTACTATGTTAAGGTTAAAACCTTCCTTTATAAAAAAAAGAAAAGGGGAAGTGCTGTGGGATGGTCTGTATGTCAAATTATTCTGATTGGTCAATAAATAAAACACTGATTGGCCAATGGCTAGGCAGGAAGTATAGGTGGGACTAACAGAGGAGAAAAGAAAGAACAGGAAGGCAGAAGGAGTCACTGCCAGCCACCACCATGACAAGCAGCATGTGAAGACGCTGGTAAGCCATGAGCCATGTGGCAAGTATAGATTTATGGGAATGGATTAATTTAAGCTATAAAAACAGTTAGCAAGAAGCCTGCCACGGCCATACAGTTTGTAAGCAATATAAGTCTCTGGGTTTACTTGGTTGGGTCTGAGCAGCTATGGGACTGGCGGGTGACAGAGATTTGTCCTGACTGTGGGCAAGGCAGGGAAACTCTAGCTACAGGTCACTAATGAAGAATGATTTGTATCATATAACCTATAAGAAAATTTCAAGAATGGAGTAATAAACATTGCAAAATGTTAAAATGATTTCAAGCAAAGCTAAAACAAAATGGTGTCCATGAGTTTTGAGATGTAGAAGTTAAGGAGAGACCTTAGTCAAGGCTGCCTCTGCTGTGTGACAAGAAGCAGAAATGAGATGACAGTGGGTGCAAAACAAAAAAAAAACATAGTTGTGCAAGACTAAACATGCAGAATGTTTCATATTTTCTAAACATTTTATTTTTATTTGTTCCTTGAGAATTTTATACAAATGTCATATTTGCTCTCTCCTTCAAGTCATGTCATATCTACCACAACTTCTCTACCCATGCAAGTTTGTATCCTCTTCTTGTTCTATATTTTCTAAAACTCATCAAACCTTATTTATATTGCCCATATACTCTTGGATGTGTTGCCTTCCACTTGAATTGTGGTCAACAACAAGTCAAGATGCAGGGAATAAAAGAATGATGAATGCTCAGCCCTAAATAAGACATCTGTATCATACCCCTACCTTGCAAATTTCAAGGATCATTGTTGAAGAGGGTGTGGAAAGAGTATAAGAGTCAGAGGCAGTGGATGACTATAAGGAAACAGTACTTTCCAGAAGCAGCAGGGTAGTTGCATATATCAATCACT